TTAGGGGAGGACCTGAAATCCATAGATTGGTATTGCGACCCCTTGGCTTATCGGGCAAACTTTAGTGACCCGTTAATGAGCCCCTACTTGGATTGTGGGTCATGTGTAACACTAGGTCGGTTTGATAAAACAAGTGTGGTATGTAGTCTACAGTTGAAGGTGAAGTGCCTCATGATTGTTGATTCACAAGCTGTATGGATCATTTTACCATCATATTAATTTAATTATGTTTGTTCTATGATATAAATTATTTTAGAATTATTATTTGATTTTTTATGAACGTCTGGATATTTTATTTATGAAATTTAGATTTATAAAATTAAAGATATTGATTTTACAATAGTTTAAATATTCAAATAATATTATAAAATCCCTTTATTGATTTTAAGTATATAAAAATGTTATAGAGGCCCATTGTGAACATTAACCCACCATATTTATAGAAGGTGGGGCCCATGAGTGCCACTCTTGAGTGGCACGCCCACCCTTTATTCTCTTTCTTATTTTTTAGTGATATAGCATTTGACCATATGGTTTGAACTAAATATTGATTTGATATATCTTTAAAATATTTCATGAAAAGATTGAGTAGACTTTTGCTATTTTATGGTATGCACAATGTTTTAATTAGATTTAATTTATTTAATTTATATTGATGGAAAAATGGTGTAGGAAAGAGGATAATGGTTCATACACCGTTGATGACCCATCTATGGAATAGATGACTCAAATCTCTCACCTAAGGTTTGAGTTTATAATCAAATGGGTTCATGTTCTATTGGTGTGGTTTTGCATAAACTTGCTTTCTCCATTGAGATTGAAGGTTGATCATTGATCATGCGCCGTCAGATGGTGGTGACTCAGTGTGGGGTGTAATAAGCCCGGTTGAGGTAATCTCCGGCGCTCTTCACTTTTATTACTTGCAATATAATCTTTATATTCTCAAAAACAGCGCATAGTTATTTCAATGGTATCAAGTTTTAAGATATTAGTTTTATTGTTATGTTGATTTTATTTTAAAGCATGTGTTATTGTGATAGACCACTTGTAAGTGATATTTTACTAAAAAAATACGGATAAAAAAATAAATAAATTATATGATTCCTCAGTAAAAGATCACATAGATATTTCTTTAAAAAATAACATCAAACGGGTAGTATTATGCCTATAATCATGGATTGGAAGTTTGAAATAATGTTCTCATATATCTTCTCTTCAGCTAACATAGTAGGAGTTTCAATTTTGAATGTCTCCATTAAAATGAATTCAACGGTGAGATTTTCAAAATCACATTCTATACATGTTCAATTTCTTTAAAGCGGCCATAAAATGATAAAAAAAAAATTACAACAAAAAAATTGTATTTCTATTTAAAAATAATAATTAAATACATCACCATTTACTAATTTACTATTTAAACTACAAATTAAAGATATTTAAAAGTTGTGACTAAAATAGTTCACTCAATGTTTATGACAAACAGTAATTCACACTATTAAGTTATTATTCTTCGAGGCATGATAATCATAATGTAGTCATGCTATCTACACATATGCATTTCAATATTAAATAATAATCTCTACAAATAGACCATTTATCTTTTAATGAATGAAGGTCACAATCATTCTCAAATATTAGATGTCAAATTGAATGGCTTGAGGTGAGTCATGAAATGAATTTTTTTTTTGAAATTTTGTATTTATTCAATGACACTAGTACAACCACCCATTTATAAATTTAAAGAATAAGAATGATTGTGCGTACAAAAGATAAATGGTATCTTTATAGACAATTCCATATTAAATCACTATGTCTAGTAAGAGCAATGTATTTCCCAGATTGCATCTAACTACTAACCAAATAATAACAATCCATTTGCATGTAATGTATTACGCTAATAATATATTTCATAGACAAAATTTTGCCAAGTCTTGTTCTGTTTTTTACCCGTGCTCTCTTTCTCAATAACCACTCATGGCTAAAGAAGCCTGCATGTCATTGTATGAGATGCTGCAGTGACACGCAAGTATTCAGTAAAAAGACTATTTTTTTTTTAGTATAGTGACTAGACCGAACCGGTGGTACGACTAATTGGATTGCTGACTAGTGTTTCAGCCGGTCTTGTATTTTTATTCAAAGTAGAAACACTATGTTTGATTAAAAACTAGTAAAAGTTGATATTATTTATATTTATATTTTTTTAGTTTAAAAAACCGATCCAACCAGTTTAACCGGCAGTTGCACCAAACCCCTCACGAGTTTGGTAGCAAGTTCAATCCTTTTAAGTGCCACTACGTGCTTAGATGTGGTGGCACATGGCTGCAATCTGGTAAGAAAAATATGTTATGGTCACCTTGTGCTTTCATTTGTTTTAAGAAAAATCTGCAGTTCGAGTTTTTCCCTATCTTTTCTCGTCCCCATCATATGATTTCTCACATTCTTCTAATCTATTTTCAATGAAATTTGTTTCATGTCAAAGCTTAGTGAGAAATTTACTGGTTAAACCAAAATTCATGAAGAAGTAGTGATATTAAATGGTTTTCTTGAGAGTGCAACATGAAAACCAAGAACTTCACTTTGAAAAATCTATCCCGAGATTGTGATCGCCTGACTTCAATTGCATTTTAGATTTCCAACCAAGTCGGGGGCAACTCAAGAAAACATGACCATATCGCCCCAACTAGGGCGGCAACGGACCCAGACCCAACCTGGGACTTGAGGGGTAGACCCGATCCGGGTATGGGCTAAAAATTGGACCATGCAGGTCAGGTCAGGGTCCAAATCATGGACTCGAACATTATTTGGGGTCAGGCCAGACCCAGTCTGATAAGGTCCAAGTCCAATAATATTTTTCGAGTCCCAATATATGAATTATATCCAAATATAGTTAAATAAATAGATATTTAGTTTTTGAGTTAGTTCCGATCGGATCCGGGTTCCACATTATATTTTTGGATTTGAGTCCGGCTAGACCCAGACCTGACCCGACCTGTCGCTACCCCAAGCCTCGAGTCCAAAATCAAAGAGAGAACCATCAATTTTATATAAATATCGGGTCAATTTTCAATGTGAACTCTTGTCCAAAGTTTTGAATTGATTTCCATCTCAGTACATCTAGTATATGGATGTCGAACGCTTGTTTAAGCCGGGTCTAAGAGAAAGTAACCCAAATAAGAAAAAAAAAAACAGTTTATATAATGTTGCAACTTTAAATTGTAAAAATAAGGTTGCAACTTTAAATTGTAGAAAAAAACAGGAAATTAATTAAAAAAAGTTGTTTTGGTGGCTAAAAGCCTTCTAATTGATCATCTCGACCATAAAATGTATGATTATGGAGAAAGACAAAAAAAAGGTGTGGTTTCTATAAGGTTACAACATTAAACAATCCAATTAAGGCGCGCCTCTAAATTTTATCATAACATGTAACTTTGTTGTAAAAAATTTTTAGGATTATTTTAAAAATTATTTTCATATGTAATTAGAAAATTTTAAATTCCAAAAATGACTAAAATCAGATAAATCTATAAACATATGAAAATCTTAAAAATGGAGGGTATAGATAATGTGTTATAAGATACACTATTTATAGAAATCAATTTTATTTTTCATATTCATACATCTCAACATTGAGATGATCAATTGGAGGGATTTTCAACCGATTGATTTTTGAGGTGCATCTATAATTCTATATTTTAAAGTTGCAACCTTATATACACTTTTTTCTTGTCTAAAATGTGTATTCTCGAGTTTTTTTTTTTTTTTATGTGCTCGTAGATGTGCTTGATCGGTACCAATTTTTGAGTTTTAAATTTAAAAAAACTCTCAATTTTGACTAAGAATTTCAAGCCAAAAAATTAATTAGCTCTCAAACCAACAATAATTCCTTAGATTGAGGCGTTAACCGCCGGCACTCGGAAGTTCGACCTCTGAACGACATGCACGTGTACTTGGTTGGCAGTCCACGCTCCCACTTCAGCATAATGACCATAACACCCTAAACTTTATCAAAATGACGGCAAGTTACATACATTATATGGATGGGGTTTCTACGAGTCCGCCTAACCGACTCATACCATACATATATGGGTTTACTACGAGTCCGCCGAGCCGACTCATACAATACACATCTTAAATCATATTTGAAATGGACTTTTAATCTAAATTTTAAAGATTCATAATCTAGGTTAAGATAATCATGGAAATATTCATGATCTAGGTTAAGATGATCCTGGATATAAAAAAAACAGGAAGTTTTAATATTTAAAATGTGATTTATTTAAAAACATTTCTACACTGCATAAACCTTGTGAGTTTTTACAAAGCGAGTCAGCCGATTTTTACACCTGCTGACTCATGACTTATACATATCGCTTAGTTTGATTCATTTGTCTATTCAAGAAAGGACCTAGTTTTTATGCGGCCAAGCCCGGATATGTAAAAATGCGGCTCTCTTAATAAATATATTTTCGAGATGGATTTTAAGACTTAATTTTTAAAGACATGTAATCTCTAACATGGAGATCATGAATATAAAAAAATAAATAAATTTTTAAACTAGAAATAATAATTATAGTAAAAAAACATTTGGACCGTTAGTTTTTTGTTGTGTTTAGATTGAACACCTACTTGCATCCATCTGAGATGGATGCTTTACACTTTTTGGACCGCATATGTAGAAATGCGGTCCACCCCGCATGAAACAATTTTCCTTCAAGAAAATATACTATGAAACCATTTATCTTTGATACAAAATAATCATAATTAATATTCATCATTGGATGTAAAATTGGGTGACTACATTGATTTTATTGACCAAACTCTATACTCTTTTTTATTTATTGAATCTATTTTTCTGAACTTGAATGCTATTTTTTATATTGATATTTTCAACAATACGATATACCTTGAAATTGTCTCCAAAATCAAATAAAATAGAAGCCGCCCGTAATAAGCGATATTTATAGGATGTTGGGGTGTTTCAGTAATTAATCATAAAAATTTGAAAAGTTATTCCCGCCCTTTTCCTGACCGACCTTAGCGCATCCGACTCTGATTTCTCTCTCTAGAAGCCATCTCTCTCTAAGTGATTGGAGAGATCATTTTGTTCATCATTCCTGTACAAGGGGAGCTTAACCCCTTGACAGAGTGTTCAAATGGCAGGCGTGGAAGACGATGACGACGACTTCTCTCTCATCAGGAAGCCCCCTAAGATGCACAAGCCCTTTAGAAGACCCCCTCCCATTCCTGTCGAAGATACTGTAACTCACTCTCTCTCTCCATCTATCTCTCTGCATTCTGCAACCTAGAAAGTATTTGAAGCATGTGGGTTTCTTCTCTCTCTCTCTATCTCTCTCTTCCATGTTGTAACAGTTGTTTGGGGTGATAGTATTGTAGGAATGGATATGTGGAGTTGGAAACATCTCACTATGAAACAGAGTGCAGGTCTCCAGAGCTCAAAGTGACAATACCCTGCTTTGAATCGCCTGTCACTCCTTTGGCATCTCGCATTCCCCCTGTGGCTGAATGCCCTGATTCTCCCATTCTCAGGTAACCTCTCTCTCACCCATTCAACAAATTTTTTTTTTGCTCTCTCTCTCTCTCTAGCAATCAGCCATTCCCCCCTTGGATCAGTCTAGCCGACTACCGTAACTTAGATTGAAATATTTGAATAACATGATTATCCCACCATATCCAATATGATCATCTTCTAAGATTAAATTGATAAAAGGGCGCATTCATTGATTCAATCAACATCTCCAAGTAGGGAAAGAATGAGAAAACTTGATTTTCTCAATAATGCAGCCAATCACCTGGAGAGACGAAAAATTTCATAAAGTGTAGTATCTTGCAATAGTTGATGGAGGCCTTCCAGATGAAAGAAGGCATTGATATTCCTGGAAGAAATCAAACAAGATGGTCAAAGATGAGTTGTTTATGCTCCTTCATGTTGTGATATATGTTTAAAATATCAAATGTTTAAACATCAAATGAAACAAGCTTTGGGTACATCATACATGATTAGGAGTCTGCATTCTATACAGCTGCTATTCTACATTTGGACAAGAACCTTTTTTAACTGATATTCATTCCTTCATTGTCATATTATTTTCGGACTACACTGATGCCAAGAAGTCGGCCATCATATAGTTCATTGCATAGATGTTTCTGATGTCTACTCAAAGCAAGTTCTTGAAAACCATAAAAATTGATGTTTGATTCTATAGACCCTGGCTTTCTCCCATGATTCCAGAGTCGCTGAAAGTGAAGGATCATGTGACAGTTTTAGCCTGACATTTGTTGAAATTGTAGTAAACTTGTCATATCATATGCTTTAACATTGCTTCCTATGGTTGGGAATTCACTCATTCTCCACTCCTTATTTATGTGTCTCTGTTTGTAATTTTTTTACATTTAACTTATAATCCAAGTTTTTTATTTATGTTGACATGAAATTATCAATGCATTTCTATGTCCAGCCTACTGATTTGTTTTGTTCATAAGCATAGAAGTTGGGATCTTGCAAGGCAGGACAGTTTAACTGAGACGAAATTGTTGATGACCACGACATTGAAGCGAACCACTAGTCTCTTTTTGTTTGGGGAGCACTTTGAATACATCAGGGAAATTGGGAGAGGCTCAGCTAGCAAGGTGGGTGCCGTGGCATGACTATTGTGTTGAGTCAATCACATTGCGCATGATAGTTATGCTTTGATGGAGTATATTGTTATTTTAGCAATTATCAGTATGAATACAACAAATCTTTGCAGATACCCCAGACCACATAGGTCACTGGTTGATGTGTCTCACATTTCAAAACCACAGGATGGCTAGAAGGCTCAGAGTATCTTAAAGACAACTACATGACAACCTTAGTGATTACGACAATGAAACATGTAACTGTCATGCATATTGATTCCTCACAATGTTCTGATGAGTGTTCACTGAATCGGGTGAGCCCACTCAGACTCGCTCAAACCACTTGGGCTTCCTAGGGTGCCAAGTCTGCAAAACCTCCCAACTTGGGGTTATATAGAAAAGCTCACAACTCGCCTGAGTAGGGTGTCCCTCGGGCGAGTTTTTTGAGATCATCAAAACTCACCTGAGTTTGTCACCGAACCTTAAATATAAAGGGGCAAGAAATCTGCCCCCTCCCCCTTTTTTTTTGTTTCCATCACTCATGCACCCAGTTGAGTGCAAATTTTGCCCATACACTTGTTTTTGCATGATCTAGCCACTAGACAGACGGATAGATCATATTTGAATCAAATCATCAATTCAATTATTTGAGAGATCGAAGATTTTAACCTACATGTTTCCCTATTTCGAAAACTTTCGATTTCTTTGCCAGTATTAGTCAATTTTGGATGAAATTTGTTCCCCAAGTGTATTCTTGGATTCTTCATCCACTCATAGTCTCGTTTCTCATTTTAAAAAATAAATAAAGAAAAGAAAATCTTGGAGTTGTGAGATTTTAATGTCAGATTTACTATTCACTCAAAATTTTAAAGTTCCTGGATCATCCGAATTTGAAACCCAATATTTGAGGCGTTGAATGAAGAAACCAATTGCCATTAGAAATCGTCTTCGTTGATTTTTGAGTACTACATTACTTTTTCGATCCGATATGCTACAGTTGACATCCCTTTCCCAACAAGAAACTTCCAAGGAAGCAACTTTCTTAGGAGGGCAGCCTAAATAGTCAGAGGCTCTCAGCACACCCTGCCTTGGGACTAATGTCCTAATTATTTTTCTGAAATAGTTTCATTTAATGGAACCCCATCAGAAAAAACATGATTATCAACCTGAAGAAAAAATAAAGCACAACATACATGAGAGTTCAGATGTTACAAGTCCAAAATGACATCCCAATCTGCCAATGCTAGTTCTGCCACTTCTGCATGCTTCAAGGCTACTAACAACTCACCAAGGCACAACATTCACAGTATACATGTTCATAATATTAAATGATGGAAACAAAAAGTGACTTTTTTATAGTATTCATGTGACACACAGGGCGTCCCAAAATTATGGATCCATTTGACTATGTGCGGACCCTTCAATTGATAAGAGGCCGATTAAAGAATCATGGCAAACATGATGCCATGTATTAGGGCTAGAGATTCCGCCTTCACATTCCAGTATGACTATTCATTCATCACCCTATTGACTTGTTTTCTTAGCTAAGAGGCAGAGTTGATCCTCTCACTACAAGCCTCCTTAATTATGGTGCCAAGGATATCCAGGCAACCCCAGTGTCAATCATAATTTTCGGGCTTCGGGCCTTCTAAATATGGTCTATATAAATGTTTGGACTAGAAAAAATGTAGCTTATTAATTTACATATGGAAAATTGTTTCTTGCGGGCTGGACCGTATGACCACATATGTGGTCCAAAAAGTGTAAGGCATCCATCTTAAAGATGGATGCAAGTAGGTGTTCCATCTAAAAACAATGGAAACTAACAGTCCAAATGTTGTCTTACTAGAATTATTATTTCTAGTTTTTAAAATTTACTTATTTTTTCATATTCATGATCTTCATGTTAGAGATTACATGTCCTTAAAAATTAAGTCCAAAAATCCATCTCAAAACTAGATTTATTAATAGGCCTGCATTTCTACATATGCGGGCTTGGCCACATAGGAACCGGGTCCTTTACATATTGCTCAAAAACCTAGCCTGGACACGAGGTGGGTCGGCTTACCAAGTACTGACTCCACTTGGCAAGTCCTGAGAAAATGGAAAAAATCCCAAAAAGATAGAAAAATACTGAAAGTTTATTAATATAAATTATATAAAAAAATACTTACAAACAAATTGCATGCTAAATCATTGCATTTGTATGTTTCTTTTAGATATTTTCTAAATATTCTTAAACAAAAAATTGTAGATCTGTAAAAAAATTAGTAGATCTAACTATTATAGGACTAAAAACACTAGACCCATGTTAAACAGACCTTGGACCTTTATTGATCGAGTGTTTCTTGATGGAAATAAATCACCATATAAATAGTGGACAGCAGGCAAAAAGATGATTTGTAAAGTACTTACCTGCCACGAATCCACCCCTAAAAAGTTTGAAAGCATTGGCTTCTCCGAAAACAAATACAACCCAGAACCCCCCCAAAGTGCCTCGAATATGAATGACTTTAGTGCTCAATGTGTGGATGGGTTTCTTGAGGAAACTCCAAATCTCCAATCTCCAAAATCCAAGATAAATGGAGGCCTTTCAACTTTGTTTTTGCTTGCATCTAAAGCAGGGAAAGATGGCGAAATGTGGCTAAGGGGACAATTTATCCCCTTTAGAACTGTTTACAATTAGCAACAAATTGAAAACTGGCTTTTGTTTTCAAGCGGACTTCACTGTGCCAAGAAGGCATCGGACCCACCAAGTCCATCTGACTCGGGTCAGATTTGGGGACCTGGGAGAGTCTGCATCAAATCCACCTGGGGCTTGAACAATAACTCAGGTGGTTCTGTTCCAAACAGGGCCATCATTGAGTTGGGAGCCCTTGAAACTAGCAGGGTTATGGTTCCAGCTAGTCACAGTAAGACTTGCAGTTTTAAACATATAAAATATTGCAGAGCCATATTAAAAAATAAAAAATAAAATTGCAAAGTCAGAGGCAACAGAAAATAAGCAAGTTGCTTATATGGAGTCATAGACATAAGAGAATATTGCATGAAGCATCTAAATGTTGAGAGAGGGATAGATCTTAGCCGCATGGGTTCAATTCATTAGGCTATTCTGCATATCTCCATGCTCTACGGCCTATATTCCAGCATCTTGAAACGGGGTTATCCATACAGTTAAAGAAGCATATATTTACCTTAATAGTTGAAGCTTAAATTCTTTTTAATAGTTGAAGCTTAATTTCTTTCTGTAACTACTGTTGTCTGTGTCTGCCAAATAATAAAACTGAACCCAGAGTAGAAGATGGTCAGGTTTCTTAGCTACTCTGGTCTAAAAGTGCAGTTATTCTCTCTTGTGGTTGCATTTTTCTTTGTAACAATCGTCAATGGCAACCTTATTGCTCTTTATGCTTTGTAACATCTTGTTTGTGTTTTGAATGTTGTAATTTCAATCGAATTGTGGTGGCCATTTTCACAGGTGTATGAAGGTCAAGAAAAGAAACATGGGGTTTTGTATGCCATCAAAACAAGTAAGCAACAGTTCCACAATCGAGAAGAAAGGGAATATTTCATGAGAGAAGTAGAAGCTGTTGCAGGATTAACAGAGCACCCAAATGTAGTCAAGTACTATAGGTGTTGGCAGCAGGATTTGCATGTCTTTATCCAAATGGAATTATGTGAAGGTGGCAATTTTCGTTCCTTCCTCGATCAACTTAGTGATCTTCTTCCTGAGAGTAAGGCATGTAAGCAGTCAAAAAAGAACTGAAATTTTGTTAGTCAATCTAAAATTCTATTGAAGTATGAATAAAGCAATTTGATTCAAACATGGTATGAAAATATTGAATTTATTATTCCAAGATGGGAGTTAACTGTTATATCTATGTGTTCTTTAGCAGCCACAGCCTTCAGCAATCAAATTTGGGACTTGAATTAATTGAGACATATGTAACCTCATCACCATGGCATTAAGACCTTATAGGAAGCAAGCAGGTTTTAAATTTCAAATGTAGCAGCGGTTGGATTTATTTTATTCTCATGTTTCCCATTGACTTCTTATTGGTCCAACTTGTTCTATAAAAAGAAAATCTGTAATCTGTGATTTACCAGCACTCAGAAGCTGGTATAAGATAATGGAACAGTTCAACCGAAAGAACTGAATGTGGCTTTCCCATCATAAGAAGTTTTTTCTATTTTGAAAGTTGAAGCATTATATGAACTAAGGTAGTCCAAACCGTTACTAGCCAGTTACCTTGCTAGACCAGTCTAAAAAAGCACAAACAAAAAAATATAAAAAATTAAAGTATTTAAAAAATTCTAAACGGGCTGATTCAATTTGGTTTGATCGGTCTAAACTGACCAGTTTGGCTTTTGACTGGTTTTGATAAGTTGCGATTCAATTTGTAATAGTCGAACCGGCGGGTTGTGGTATCGAGCCGGAAATTCCCCAATTTGATGCCGTTCGATGCTTTCCCTAATTTGGGATTGAGGAACTAGATCACCAGTTCCTTGTCTGAATGGCCGGACCGGTCTGGTCTTAATTTCATTGACATGATCAAGAAGTCTTCCTTGCCAAGGATTGATGGTTTTATCACATGCATGGCAAAGAAATTTCTTTCAATTATTATTATTTTTTGTTTTATTATATGTACTTGGGGTATTGTGGTCATTATTAGATAGCTATGCACGTGGTTGAGGGTAGGAGGAGATGTTTTATAAGATGAGGAATGGGTCAGATTACCAAGGTTCCGTACGCATAAGAAATTGGCTGTGAAACATTTAATCAAGATAACAAAACTTGATATGTTCTGAACAAGTTGATATCTTTATTCCTGCAGAGTGTGCAACCTGTGAGGCTGTGCAGGACTCGAAAGAGAATCATTTTATTATATTATCTCAAAAGCTTTCGAGCTTGGTTCTGCGAGGCCTCATAAGAATTTGCCTGTGAAACATTTAGTCAAGATAACAAAACTTGATATGTTCTGAACATGTTGATATCTTTATTCCTGCAGAGTGTGCAACCTGTGAGGCTGTGCAGGAGTCGAAAGAGAAGTATTTTACTATTTTATTATTTCAAAAGCATTCGAGCTTTGTTCATTCTCAGGCCTCGAAGAGCTAGTAGATCCATGGATTTTGGAACCACCACCTCCAAAAGTGGGGGAAAAAATGGAAGTCGCCCCTTCTATGTCCCCCGCCTCCTCCCCCATGGACCCAATAAGTTTGGAAGGTTCGACTTCTGAAGCTGAACCTTCTGAAGGCCAACCTTCTACCAAACAAAAGTGCCTAAAAGACAACGTTATACTATTCATCGGTCCAAATCCATATTCAAATATCTTTTGCATATAATTACTTCCTACTTTTTATGCAGTTCATTTACTAGGTAGACCTAATTAAGAGTCAACTATGTTTTCACTATAATTGCTGCATAGTCCATGTTCTTTATGCAGTTCATTTACTAGGTGAACCTATGTGAACTGAATTTGATGCTGATAAAACAAGCTCACATACTTTCTCTTTTATGTTCACAGGTCTGGAGTTACATTAGCCAGATTGCATCAGGCCTCAAACACATTCATGCAAGTTCCATTCTCCACCTTGACATTAAGCCCGAAAACATACTCCTAGATAAGCAGGGTAATTCCCTCAATTCTACTCCTACATGCATCAATAATAATAATAATAATAATAATAATAATAATAATAAGAAGAAGAAGAAGTAGAAGAAGAAGAAGAAGAAGGAAAAGCATTTTGTAATCCAGAGGAGTATGCAATGCAGTATCAAGGGGAACCTACCAATTGTTTGTAATGAAGCACAGTGGATATTGATTCAAGTGGGGCCCATGAAGACATTTTCAGCCACATACAGTCGATCTCCACCAACCATCATTGAGAACATAAGAGAAATAAGATGCATGCTCTGCAGATTACTGTATGCTCCACTGGATTATGATGTACTTTCTCAAAAGAATAAAATAAAATCTAAGAAAATCTATTGCATGCAATCCAAATCATGGGATAGGCCCTAGTGACTCTCTTTCCTTTTCAGGTGTTCTTAAGATAGGGGACTTCAGCCTAGCAGTCACACGTGGTCAGTGGGATTGGCAAGAGGGGGATGGGGGATATCTTGCTCCTGAGCTTCTTAGAGAGGAGGATCCCAGTTCTGAATCGGACATTTACAGCTTTGGGGCTATGGTCTATGAGTTAGCTACTGGTAAATTATTTCCTCGCTCCAGTCCAGAGCGAGATGGAGTTAGATACTTAACTCAACGCTCCAATGAGCTAAATAGACTAATGGCTTCCATGCTACACCCTTGCCGAGACAAGCGGCCAAGTGCAGCGAGTATCTTAGAATGTAGCAAAGAACATATTGTGTAAAACGTGAAAGAAAGAATCATGTTTGTTTATTTTGTGTTAAATATCACGAAATGAGTAAAACAATCCTTTATTTATGGCGGAGATAAGGTTTTGAAAGGATCCTCAAGCCTGGTTACATGATGATGTTTACATTTTTTTACTCTGGGTGTGGACCATCTAATTCATTGGAAGAAGGATCTCTTTCGGTTGCGCTCCAAACGTTCTTCCCTCTGTCATGACAAGAGGATGATTTCAGTAGAAGAAAATGGAATAACAAAAATGATTATATAGAGATTCCCTAAGATATCTCCAAAGAAATGATCTGCTCACAGAGGAGATATGCAATGAAGAAATAAACAAATCACTGTTTACAAGATCAATATATTACTGATAAGACAATAGTAAATAAACGTAGAGAGGTTGTTCCAGAATCAGAACTTTGAATGATAGTTTTCATGATACCAGGAGGATTTGACACTACAAAAAGTTAATGACATGGTTTCTATGCGGCCAGCCTGCATATTGAAGAAATGCGGGCTTGGCAATAAATATTTTTTTTTACATATAATTTGATCCTAATTTTTAGAGAATATATAATTTTTAACATGGAGATCATGAATATGAAATTTTTTTTTTTGAAAACTAGAAATAATAATTATATCAAGGAAACATTTGGACTGTTAGTTACACTTGTTTTTAGATGGACCACCTATTTACGACCATCTTTAAGATGGATGCTTTATACCCTCTGCACTGCATATTGTAGAAATACAGTCTAGCCTGCATGAAACAATTTCCCAAAAATAAGCTTCTGATGCGGCGGAGAAATGAACATACAATTTGCTTGCATAATACAAAATTTCTGTCAGGTCACATCGTTTTACATTTAATTCTCGTAGGGTCACAAAAATCTGGAGCAGAAATCAGGCGAATCCCATATCATTTTGGCCCAAGCTTTAGATCCCGTTATTGCCATGTCTGGAAGGGATTGAAAACACCCACAAGCAATGAGGGCAGTAGGGAGATTCTTCAAAGCTGATGTACTATCTTATTTCGGATTCATGAGAAGTTTTGGTAAAGTTTTGTATTGGCTGCCTACCTAACACAACCCAACCCCTTTACCCAGGTTTGGGATGGGTTAAGGGAAAGTTTAAGATCCTCACCCTTCTTAGACCATGATGTACTCTCCTACTATAATAGCCCCAGTAGTAGAGGTCTTTGTTGTGGAGGAGGAGAGAGATTGGTAGAGGTGGGTAAGCAAGGGTGGATTTTGGTTATGGAGCTTGCGCTGGATTGGTGGAGCCCATAGTGAGCTAGAAGTTTGCCTATCAGGTTTGGGTTGAACAGAAACCATCTTGTTGCTTTGGCCTTAGTTTTGAATAAAGGGCAGGATTTCAATTGGGGATCAGGTGGCCAAGGCAGAAAGAGTTGTGAAGGGGGCTGTGATGGAAAGAGTTCGGGTCGGGCTTTGGGTGGCGGTGTGCAAATTGATAATGTCTCTCCCAGCGGTTTGGTAGCTCGGGGTGAAATGATCAGCGAGTAGAAGGAATAGATGCTTGGAAGGGGTGAGACGATCTCCCCATAAGGCTGATGGGATGGGTTACTGTGGATGGGTGACTCTATAAACAATGGGATGGGTTGCTGGGTCATTGACAGAGTTAGTTCATCTCATGAAAAACCTGTAGAGTGGTTCCTCTCATCAGTCCACTCTGAATAGGCCCGTGTAATATTTAGGAGATTAATGGGTGTTAGAACAGGGGTATACACTTTTGGTCTTGACAAGAACCATTAATATAGCAAAAATTTGATTTCTCAAAATTAACATACAAATCTCTCTAAAAAATGCTCTTCTGCCCCTAGCACCATAAATAAGGGATCGCAGAAGGGAATCGGCACATGTGGAAGCTCCTTAAGTGTGACTTGAGATGTGGAACGACCAAAAAGGCATACAAAGACACAAAAGTATGGTAAGAAATCTAGGGGAATAAATTGTCTCTGAACAAATTCTCAAGAGCTAGTCCCAAAAAGTCCATTAGGGAGAACATTTAAAAAGGGCGGAAAGGGGTGGAAAGAGAAGAGAACCAGGGAGGTTTCTGATTTCTCCATCTTCCCACTGTTCAAACATCTAAAAGCTTTCAAGAAGAAAGTTCAATCCACTGCACCATGTAACCAGATCACTATCTATGTCCAAAGCCAATCCAAGAGAACTCATAGTCATAAAGTAATAGAGGATGGGTGGAACATGCAACTATGATCTGACATATTTTCACAAACAAGGCTTAGCCCCCATCATCTTTTCTCCAGGTTGAAAGGATGTGACAGAATAGTTTCGTACAAGTATCTGTGTGAACATGAATTTATATCATATTCCAACATTGATGAAGATTTTACATAATCTATCAACTACATGTTTATTAGCAAAGATAACTCTTGTGTCAATCTTTCAAGCATCTAAATATCTTAAAGGACCATTCCGAACATAGTTTTTATCCATCTAGAAGGAATGATCATCAGATAAGCATATATTCTTCTCCTACTGTCCTTCATCCGACAAATGATAAGCAAGGATCAGTGTTTACATACTTCATACAACATTAACTCACAATAATACATGTACAATATTTTGATTTGCTGAAGAGAATCAAAAGACGGGATGTGCTTTATGGTCTTTTACACAACCATATTACAACCAACTTGCTTCCTTTCTGACAAATTTGCCCATTTGTTTACGAAGAACTAAAAATAAAAGGAGAAAGAAAAACACAAAAAACTCACCCTGATGAGAATTAAAGTCCTTTGATCAGAGACGTTTCTAGTACTTCAGAAAATAAAACCTCAAATTTATAATCACAAATGGAAAGTAGGAAATATCATTAGTTTTTAAGAGGTAGAACATTTACCTCCTTTTTCTTGCATTCCTTGTAAGCATCAAACTGGTCCTGACACTTGCTCTTGTCGTAGTTCGAATCATCCAGGCCTGCATTTTTTAAACGACGAGAGTGTATTCAGAACAGAAAATGTACAAAATGCAAGAAGTCAATGCATTAAAAAGAGCTGGCCAATGCCTAAGTGGCCGAGCGAGCTGGTCGCCTAGGCGAAATGTGGCCACCTAGGCAGTCACCTCAGTCCTCAAGACTGAGAATAATACATACATACATGTATCCTGCATTTAATATATGACATATTTCAGCCTGTTTTTGTTTTGTATGTACATACATACACATTTTAGATAAACTTTTTGTTTTGTATGTACATACATACACATTTTAGATAAACTTACAAAAGTATATTCATGTATATTGAATGACAGAAAAATTGAAAAATCCACTTTAGAAGTAATGCCGATTCACATTTCACACAATCCATGTAAGCTCTACTGTTCTTCCAAGCAAAATCTAATCCAAAAACATTCAGATTGAACTTGATTTCCTAAATCTAAAAAAAACATAAGTTCATTTTTTCTTGCCTTTTTGCTTGTTTCTGGACAACATTTAGGGTTCATAGGAATATTGGAACGGTAGGGATAACACGTAATTCAATTTCCCATCCATAGGGGGAAAATGACCAAAATTATTCCTACCTTGAGACAGCTTCTGTCTAGGGGTGGTAAAATCCCCTACCTCAGGGAATTTTTTGCCTAGAGATGGGAAGTAGGTTGGTTCAACCCACCAACCCCGCTAGTCGACCTGATCTAGGTCCGTGTTTGGACTCATCTTCCAGATGGGTTGAGTCAGGGTCTGGGTCCACTTGACCTAGACCTGACCATGTCCAGGTCCCGGTCCAGCCTTGACCTAATTGGGATGGGTTGGGGTCAATCCGACCTGGTGAGTTTCTGTGTATATGTGTGTGTGTGTCATTTACTTTTTAACATTTTAATACGAACCCGACCCGACCCTCTAGCAGGTCGGGCCTGGATCAGATCGGCATGGACCCGACAGGGTCTGGATTGACCCTAGGCACTGCAGGGTTGGCTCGGGTTGACTCAATTCATTTGTAGGCTTGGTTATACCCTAATGAAGAGTTGTGCGCCTTGGCTGAGGGGCTAGGCGTGCTTGCTTAGGGAGCCTTCCCCTAGGGGAGGCACCGAGGCAATGGATCCGGGACTTGACATCCGGACTCGACCTGGGTCGGGGTCCAAATATTGGACCTGGTCACTATTTGGGTCCGGGTCCCTGTGGATCCGACCTAGACCCGATTCGAATAGTATTATTTATACATCTGTATAGAACATTTTAATAATATTAATTAATATTTAAATAAACATAACTGTATATTTTTGTTACAATATTTAAATAAGGGTGTGGTTTCTATAAGATTGCAACTTTAAACAATCCGATTAAGTTGCACCTCCAAATTTCATCATAACATGTAATTTTGGTGTAAAAAATTCTTAGGATTATCTGAAAATTTATTTTTTATAAAATTTAAACTAAAAAAATAGTTAAATCAAGTAGATCTATAAACATATGAAAATATTGAAAAAGGATGGTCTAGATAATGTGTTGCAAGATACACTATTTATTGGGCTCAAAATCTTTTACTTTTTTCATATTCATCCATTTCAGATGTCGAGATGATCAATTAGCGGGTTTTTCAACATCAAAACCACCATTCTCAATGGAATTTTGAGGTGCATCTTTAATTCTACATTTTAAGGGTGCAACCTTATATAAACTGTTTTCTTTAAATAATACATGTATATATAATTTTCTATTTTTTGCGTCGGGTCCAGGTCCTATATTTGTTTTGGGTCCAGCCCCGACCCAACTCCTAGCCTACGCCAGTGCCCTGTCTCAGGATGCCATCTACGCAGAGCCCTTTTTATCAAGAGAGAATCAACAACAAATTCCAAAATTACAATCCACTTGCCAATACCTTCCTCTTAGTGCAGAAAAAAAGTTTTTCAACAAATTCACAAAAAATCTAGGATTATCTTTTTACCCAATCCTTGAACTAATTTGACGTTAAGCCTGGCGCATTGATGACTTAACCCTAACAAATAAGTCTCGGAAACACTCAAATATTGAATCATAATGCCATTCTTCAGCTGCAATAGGATCCCATGAAACAATTGCCAGTTTAATCTGAGGTTCTAATCCTTCTTGAAGAGCAAATAATGCAGAAAACCAGAGATACAAGCAGTAATAAAAGTAGAAGTAAGACATTCAAATGTTGCTATGATTACAGAAAGAATAAAAAAGAAAAAAGTAAATGTGAGAGAAGAACAAGAAAGGAGGCATTTACATTTGAGAGAAGCAGAGTATTGAGGAAAGCACATAGAGTCTTCTAGTCTGGAAACGCTGGGATATGGGGGCCCTGAAGACTTTGAGGCCATGACAGTTTCGCGTCTCTCTCACTATGCTTCAAACCAATCTCTCTCTCTCTCTTTCTCTCAGCTGGTCTACTTTCAAAACCAATATATTTCTATCTCTAAGTTCTCTTTTATACATTTAACACCAACATATATCTCAGAATCCCCTCCCATTCTCCAAACTCAATAATATAGCCCCTCAGGGTCCATAACAGAGGAAAACATAAAATAGTACGCGTGCCCGAAAAATAAGAGATCTTCAAGAACATAGCTTAGCGGCGATAAGCGTTACTTTGAGGTGAGATTTTACTTATTTTGATAGTGCTGCGGCCCTATCAAATTTTTTTCCTGATTTAACATTTTTCGAATGAGAATCACCGATCGTGATTTGAATATGCTGGGAGCCTTCCGGATTTTATCGAAATTTGAAGGGGTTTTTTTTCTTCTTTTCTGTCTTTTATTAGATTTGCATGGAATGTTTATGAGAAATTTCTGAAAAGGGTCCAGTTTGTATGGAGCTTAACCTCTAAACAATCAAAGTAAAGTAAAGTCCACCTTCAAATAGTATCCATAAATGTGGTTTCAATGCTTGAAATTTTTGTGGTAGCCTTTAAATATATTTTTATCTTTAATTGTAAAATTTAAAGCTTAAAAAATAGTGTTGATTAAGCATATCGATGAAAATCTTGAAAATTGTCAGTCCAAAAATACGTTACAAGATGTACTAATTTCAAAACTTGAAATTCATTTTTTTCTCATGTTCATGCATCTTAATGTCGAGATGATCAAGTTGAGAATATTTGAGCATCAAAACAACTCTTCTAGTGATATTTTTGAGGTGGCATTTTTTCTTTTTTTCTTTTTTTTATTACATATCTGGCCAATGTGTATCAATCAATCTTTTAGGACGCAACTAATTATAGGATGGTATGGTTCTTGATCCGATTTAAAAAATGGCAAACTTTTTCATCAT